TAGTGGAGTAAGAACTTTTCATATTTCACTGTCTTGGTGCCTGGTGCCTCACTTCTGGTGGCCCTGGCAGTACCCTTCCTCCAGTGCGGCTCAGGCCACCTCCGCTGCTGCTTTTCACCAAGAAAAGCATGTTCAGATCCGTGTCTTCTTGATTTCTTGCCTGCAGGCTTTCTTTCTATGAGGCACAGTTGTCCGAAAGTCTTTGCGGATCTGCCCCTGTGATGGCAGCCTGCCTACTCGCTTGGGAGGACTGCTTTCATTGCTTGGCCAGGTTTTCCCATCCATCCAGGGATTTCTGGTACATTTGCATGTGATGGTAACTACCAGTTATCGTGGCGAGGAAAAGATGACCTTTTCCAGTTAAGTACAGAGAACACAGTCTTGGTTTGTGATTTCCTGTCCAGTGCCACCCTTTACATTTTTGGAGTAGGAACAACTGTGAGACACAGAGTCTTTGGATTCTTGGGGAAAAGAACTGAAGAGTGAGCTCTGTTGACTCAGAAATGCCTTTTCTTTAATATCAGCAAATTTCCTGAAAAATTAATTGCTGAGTAGGGAAGGAGATGAAGAGGGATTGAACAGAATGTGAACTTGATCTTGCCCTTTAGGAAATCAGGTTAGTGCCATCGAATCGAGTACAGCTCGACTCATCCCAGTGAACAGCAGGTCAGAACCTCCCCTATCCTGCAGCACATCATGGGTTTACCATGCTCAAGCCCCTGGTTGCAATCCCTGTGTCAGGCCATCTCTTTGAGGGTCACGAACCTCTCTTTTGATGAGCATATCTTTTTCCAAGTTGGAGTAATAAAGCATAAATATATTTTTTTTAAAGTGAAAAGTAACCTACATAGCGTTTTTGAAACACACTGAAGGATTCCTTCATTTAGTCTAATTCAAGCCGCGAGGGTCAGTGTTGAGCTGGTAACTTAAGGGCCAGTGGTTAGAACCCACCATCCCCTCACCAGCAGAAAGATGAAAGCTCTTTGTTAAGATTTATAGCCTTCAAAACCTGCCTCATTGATGTCTGTGGGTGAACATAAGCCTTACATGTTGGCCTCCGCCAGGTGAAGCATTTGTGCACATCCGGAGCTGGAATGTGAATGCAGGCATTCTGACTCCACACTCTGTTCCACTTAACGTCACACTCCACTTAACGTCATGCTCCATGGTGTCACAGAGAGCACAGAACTTGCAGGGAGTGCCCTGGGGCTCAGGAGGGGCATAGGACTGTTGTGTGTGCATTTGGGCCTTGGTGCACTTGACATCTCTTGAGGGTGACTTCCGGGAGGTGGGCCAGCTACGGCAGTGTTGGCCGTGAGATCATAGTAACTTGACTTGTATTGGCTATGTCAGCTGCTCAAGCCTCAGCCCACAGCAGGGTGATGGAGGTGGTGCTGTTGCATTGAGGCTGCTGGTTTATAGTGAGAACAAAGCCTTTTTAGGGTCAAGCATCACTAGTTGCTTCCTGTGGTTCCGTAAGGGGGGAGGCCAGTTGGGATCATCACCTCTGTGCTGGATTTGGGCACGGGCTCAGACAGGTGACACCTTGCTGAGGCTCTGCAACCAGGAGTTGTCAGTTTGGTCTAGTTTTTCCTAAGTCAATCTGACTGCTGTGATTGTTTCCCTCTGGGCTTCAGTTCCTGTGTGCCCGTAGGGAGCTGGAGAGGTCTTTTCTGTGTTACTGCTCTGGCAGTCTTTGCTCCTGAGCCCTTTAAAAAGCTTGCTATTGCAGCACATTAGAGGTTACACAGAAGTACTAGTAACACTGGGAAGTAGTAATACTTCTGTGTCTGTCTTCCCTTCATAGTCTGCCTTCTCACCTGAATAGCCTGAGCTCTTGGCATTCACAGTACAGTGTGTGGCTTAGAGTAGGTCAGTGAAAGCTTGTTGGGTTGAGTTATATGCAGATAAAATCACCCAGTGCCACTTTTTTCTACTTCTGAAGTGTAGGAAAAGAAAGGGAATGTTTTTCTAAATTAAATTAAATAAAGGTGGGTTGATGGAGAGCTAGGCACTGTCATTGGGTGGCCACAAGGTGGCAGCATGAGCCCATGGGGACCCAACCTCCTGAGTTGACTCCTACGTGCTCCCTCTTAAATGCGCTGAAGAGTCAGAGCCACACCTCTAGTGGGTTTTCAGAAGCCGTAAATGTCACTGGAGGAGATTGCTCACCTCTCTTCCTTGGAGCAGCTTGTGGATTCAAACTGACTTTCTCTAAGAGACTGAATTAATTGTTTGGTGTTACCGCAGACCGTCTGTTTGGGACATTGCCTCTCCAAAGTCAGTCCCTGGTGTCCTGAAGCTGCTAAGTTTTGGCCTCGTGGCTGAGGACTGACTGTAGGATTGAGCTTTTGAGTCAGTCAGACCTGGATTCTAGCCCTGCCTTGGTCTTCAGCCGAGAATTTAATCCTAGACACAGGATAGAAAAGGGTTCAGATCTCTTGTTCATAGGTTCACAATGAGTCGTACTTGACTCAATGGCACTTAACAACACCAGCATTACTTCACTGAGCCTCAGTTTCCTTATTTTGTAAAATGGGAATTACTGTAAAATTAGAAGATATTGAAGGTAGGTGTGTTGGAGACTGTGAGATTGGCTCAGGATAAAGCTATTGTGCATAGGGTCACTATGCGTTGGAGGCAACTCGACAGCACATGACAATAACGCAGTGTCAGAAGGGCTGAACGTATGTCTACTGTTGGGAGTTCCTATGTTTGCCTTTGATGTTTCTAATTTAGCTTCATCTTCACCCTATGAGCCTGTCTACCAGTTTCCTTCTACATTTTCCACAAGTCTCCTCCCCCTCACTGCTGCACCCCTCTAAGCTGTCAGTGTCTGCCTTGTGCAGGCCTCCCCCTGCCCGACCGTTCCATCCCAGCTGGCATTCTCCCTCACCACCTCCCCCGGCGTGTCCACGGCAGTTGGTGTTCACACTCTGCGGGGATGATTCTGATTCCCCATGGAAACTCCTTCATCTTAATCATTCTGACTTCTGTGCTGTGTGCTTAGCTGTTACTCTGTAATAAAAATACCAGCCATCTCGCCACTTCCTCTCTAACATTTATTACTTGCTGTCATGTTAAACTCTTAAAACACTCTTAGTGGAATTGTAAAATGGTATAACCTCTCTGGAAGGCAACTCCAGAAGTTTGGCACCTCCTCAAAAAGCTGAACATAGAAATTCCATATGACCCAGCTATTCCACTGCTTAGAATATACCCTGAGAAAATGAGAACTGAGACGCAAACGGACACTTGTACACCAATGTTCATAACAGTGTTGTTCACAATCTCAGGACCATGGAAACAGCCCAGATGTCCAACCACAATCAAATAGCTTGAGAAATTATGGTATATTTATACAGTGGAATACTATGCAGCACACAGGAGCAATGATTTTGTAAATTATTACCTAACTTGGGAGGGACTGGAGAGCATTATGCTGAGTGAACTAACTCAGTCCCGTAAGGACAAATACTGTATAAGACCATTATTATAGAAATAGCTAACTAGTAAAACGTTTATGAGGACCTTTAAAGGGGGCAAGGGGAGGAACAGAGGGGTGAAAAAAAAATACCAGCCATTTTTATTGCATGCACACCGGGTTCCAGGTGATTAAAAGAATCAACAATCAAAACCTAAAACAACCCACTAAAAGTGGTCTAGCAGAAAGGGAAGCTTAGTGACTAATCAAAGGAGGAGTCTGGGGGATGCTCAGTGATGGTAACAAGGATTGAGGGCATTGCCACCTGTCCAGCTGCCTTCCCCAGAAAGGGGATGGTGTTCCTTGATCTGGCCTCTCTTTAAGTAGCTTCTTAGCAGATTTCTTTATAATGCTCTTTTTCTGACCAGTATTGGATCTTGGATCCGTCCCCAAGCCATTTGCTAGAAAAGGGGCTGGGATTACTGGAGTCAGCTTAGACTAGTCTGGATTGAGCCTGGGAGAGTGAGGAGGGTGGTCCTGTGCAGTAGACCCATCCTCAACCTACCCACCCCTCCTCCCCCAGCCTCCCCACCCAAGGAAGAAAAGGAGATAAGGAAGAGAGAGGACCAGTGAGCTACGTGATCTGTTCAGTATTGCAAACCCCGGAAGAACCAAGGTTCAAAGGATCTGGCTGACCCAGAGGTCCTCTGAGTCAGTCATCTGGAGATCAGGGATGGACAGCGCTCTGGTTTGCTGGGTGTGGGTCTTAGATGTGCTTCCTCCTAATGGTTCTGGAGTCTCCCTGTTCTTGAGGCCTCTTCCATTTGATTTCCATGTGCTGTTCCCCTCAATGCCATCATCACTCCGTATCTTCCAGCACAGTGACTACCTGTCTTCAAGGATAGACCTCCTGCTGTTAGCAGGGGAGCCATTCAGAAGGACAGGATGGCCTGAAGGCTGATCTCAGTGTGGCTGGCAAGATCCTAGGGATGAGTCAGATAGGAATTCTATGTAGAGTGGAAAAGGAACCCTGGTGGAGCAGCAGTTAAAGTACTTTATTTAGCCTATCAGCTGCTCCATGAAAGAAAAGTTAGCACTCACTTCCATTATAGTCATAGAAGCCCTGCCCGCTTTCACTTGAGGGAGCTCTGGTAGCTTAATGGTAAGGAATTGTGCTGCCAGCCCAAAGGTACATTGTTTGAATCCACCAGCTGCCTCATCAGAGAAAGATGGGCAGTTTCTTCCCATGTGATTTACTGGCTCTGAAAACCCATTAGAGGACCAGCTATAGGTCGGTTCCAACTCAGCTATGCACAAGATTGCAGTAAGTTGAAATCAACTGAGTGGAGATAGTTTTGGAGTGGGTTAGTTGCTGCAAAGGACTTTCAGAATCCAAGAAAGAGTGGCCAGTGGCAGTGTCATAAGGACTGGTAGAGTGGCATTGGTGACATTGGGTCTATGGTGTGTCTGGGAGGATAAGGGCACATGGTTGAGCACTTGGGATAGGCTCACATGGGACAGCAGCGAGTTGTCACCTGCCGAGCAGCCAGTGACTGGGCGGCTGCTCTGCTTGTAGATGCTCCAGGATTGCCCGAAGGCGCGCAGGGAGGTGGAGCTGCACTGGCAGGCCTCCCAGTGTCCACACATCGTCCGCATCGTGGACGTCTATGAGAATCTGTACGCCGGGAGGAAGTGCCTGCTGATTGTCATGGAATGGTGAGTCCCTCTGCCTGCTCTGTCCTGAGCCTACACCTGCTCTGCACTCAGGCCCTCGCTTTCTGGGGACAGCCGGCACTCAGGCTTCCTTCTGGGGGCAAGGAGCACTGGTTGGCAGGGGAGAGGTTGTTTGGGACCTGGCTGTTGCTCCCCATGCCTCACTGTGACTTTCTTTCAGTTTGGATGGTGGAGAGCTCTTCAGCCGCATCCAGGACCGAGGAGACCAAGCATTCACAGAGAGAGGTAGGGAGAGTCTGAGGGGGCAGGCTGTGAGCTGGCAGGGTAACTGGGCATCCCAAGGGTTTGAGCCCTTGAAATACCTGCCGTCTGCAAGGTATGGGACTTGTGCCTCTTCTTACTTGTTGCTGGATGCAGCCTAACTGAGGCCAGGCAGCATCTCCAAGTCCAGTTGGAGGGTGGGTGGTGGGTTCAAGGGGCCTTGGGCTGCACCGGGCCCTGGTCTATTGAGCTTTCTGTCCTGGTGGCACATCTCAGTGACACTCTTTCATTCTTCCTTCCACCTTCTCTCCTCTCTCCAGAAGCATCAGAAATCATGAAGAGCATCGGTGAAGCCATCCAGTATTTGCACTCAATCAACATTGCTCATCGGGATGTCAAGGTACCAGCTGTTCACACCTCGGCCTCAGGTGCTGCCAAGGACCTTGGGGACTGCGGCTGTGGTGACCCCAGGGAGGCTTAGGTGCTGCCCTTGGGCAAACCCACAAACCCAGTAGTGAAGCCCGTCTGGCCACACTCGGTCTGTGGTTCTTAGAACCACAGATCCACCCTGGTTTCTTCTGCCCCATGTGTTTATATTAGCGTTTAGGATCTGTGTGCCTGTCTCTAAGCTCTAAGCACCCCGCAGCTCTCTGATGACAGGGAATTGGTCCTGCAGCTCACAGTCCTCATAGTGTCCGGGCCACAGGCACGAGACACTTGGCTTCTAAGAGAATGGATGCATGAGCCAGGGCCCCTCCCGGGCTCAGCATGGTTTTTCTCCTCTTCTGCAGCCTGAGAATCTCTTGTACACCTCCAAAAGGCCCAACACCATCCTGAAGCTCACTGATTTTGGCTTTGCCAAGGAAACCACCAGCCATAACTCTCTGACCACTCCTTGTTACACGCCTTACTATGTGGGTGAGTCCAGGGGGGCCAGGGACCAAGCTTTGCCCAGACATCATTCACACCTCCTCCTACAGGCCTTAGCAAGGAATTGTATCCCCCGCAGGGCTGGTTCTGATGGGATCTGGATCAGAGACAGACTCGATAGAGTCAGCCTAGGGTGGAGAAAGTGATAGGAAGTGGTCTGCGTGAGACGTGCTTTCATGAATGCCAGGTTCCCAGTACAGACCTTGATTTGGTTCTGGAGTCTCAGCTGTTTGACCTGAAATCCACTCTCAAAGCATGCTTCTTGTTGTGTGTACTGTTGAGTCACAGCTGACCCCCAGCGGGTTTTCAGAGGCAGTAAATGGCACAGATTACCTATCATTCTCCCGTGGAGCAGCTGGTGGATTTGAACCGTGTACCTTTGAGTAGGCAGCATAGTTTCTTACCACCAGAGCCCCATGTCAGATAAAATGGACAGCATGAGGCTGAGATCTTGCAGTTGAGATTTACTTCACTTTGAAATTCTTGCCCCAGGGCTCCTCTGTGGAGGAGTTCTTCCCAACCTCCCCCCAGCCCTGAGGTCCTAGTCCTAGCTGCTGTCCCGTCATGCAGGCTGAAGGGCTGGGCTGGGGGCATCATTCATAGAGAGCTGGGGGGACTGCAGTGTCCCGAGAACCTGGCACATCATGCTGACCTTTGGTTTGCAGCTCCGGAAGTCCTGGGGCCTGAGAAGTATGACAAGTCCTGTGACATGTGGTCCTTGGGTGTCATCATGTACATCCTGTGAGTGTACTGGGACTGAGGCATGGCAGGGCTGGACATCGCTGGGAGGAGAGGAAGAGGCCAGTGCTAGCGTCCCCTTCTGGGCGGGGATGTCCCTGGGAATCCCCCGCATGCCCCCTTTCCCAGTGTGTAGTGGATTTTGATTGCTAAGTGTGGCTATAAGCTGACTTTTGAACAGGGAAGTGTGTGTTTTGGCTCACGGGTGTGTTGGATTCCTGGACCCTGCCCCTGGACTCCAAATGGTGACTGAATCAATGCACCCGTACTTCTGGGTGACTCACAGAAAGAAGGAGGCTGTTTCTCCCTACATTCCAGTGTCAGTCCCCGAAATAACACCAGCCCTCCTTTTCTCTTTCTGTCTCCTCTCTGCACCCAGACTGTGTGGGTATCCCCCTTTCTATTCCAACCATGGCCTTGCCATCTCTCCGGGTATGAAGAGTCGCATTCGAATGGGACAGTATGAATTTCCAAACCCAGAATGGTCAGAAGTATCGGAGGAAGGTAGGAGGCCAGCACTGTGGGATAGGGGGCTGTGTGTGAGTGTGGTCAGAAGTATTGGAGGAAAGTAGGAGGCCAGCACTGGGGATGGGGGTGTGTGTGTGTGTGTGTGAGAGAGAGAGAGAGAGAGAGAGAGAGAGAGACATACATGGATGATAAACACCTGACGGGGCTGTGTGACATGAGGGCACAGGTCTTGTTTGGGTTTTCCAAGTGATAAAGCTATAAAAGACCCTAGGCCAGTTCCGTGGGCATACTGCTTCCATGCAGCACCCATAATGAACCTAGTTTCCCCTTTGATAGCAGGGCAGAGTGAGCGGCCCTTAGCTGAATTCTGTCCTGTCCCCACCCCGCAGTAAAGATGCTCATCCGGAACCTGTTGAAAACAGAGCCCACTCAGAGGATGACCATTACGGAGTTTATGAACCACCCTTGGATCATGGTAAGTCCAGCAGGCTAGGGAGACCTGGGTCCAAAAGGGTGGAGTGGGGCTCTGCCTGCCCCAGGTTCACTCTCTCATACCCTTTCTCTCTCCCAGCAATCAACAAAGGTCCCTCAGACCCCACTGCACACCAGCCGAGTCCTGAAGGAGGACAAGGAGCGGTGGGAGGATGTCAAGGTGAGGGGGCCCTGACTGAGAGGGACTGAGGGCATCCAGGGGCATGCGCAGTCCTGCGGGTGACAGGCAGCTTAGCTTGGCAATGTCTCACCCAGGGCTGTCTTGGGAGAGTGACAGTAGAGGCCTATCGACTTCCTGACCAGACTGTTGGCAGAGGTTCTGTGTCTGATCTAAACTCTGCTGTGGCTTCTTCCGGCAGACTCCCTACACCCAAGGTCTTTGGCGGGGGACCAAGAGGGTCATCAGGCAATATGCTCTCGTTTTGCAGATGAGGAAACAGGCCCAGAGAGGGGGAACGACTTGTCCAAGGTCATACAGCTAGTGACAGAGACCAGAACTGGGTCTCTGACTTCTAACCCAGTGCTGTCTTTGCCCTTTGCTGTGACTGTGTCCTACTGAGCCTCAGGAGCGGCCCTTGGGAGCATGGGCAGCGCAGTGACCAGACCCTTGCTTGACTGAGCTCAGGGGTGAGGCTGCTGTCAGCACTGTGGACCCACTAACTGTCTGTATTCCTCTCTCTCTGCTCTTGGTCCCTGTCACTCTCTCTGCCCTTCCTGGGCCACTTGCCTCTCCCGTCCCCTTCTTCTGGTCTCTCCTGGTCCTTTGCTTGTCCCCCTCTCTCCCCTTCCTGGCACACCTTCCCCACCCAGGAGGAGATGACCAGTGCCTTGGCCACAATGCGTGTTGACTACGAGCAGATCAAGATAAAAAAGATAGAAGACGCATCGAACCCTCTGCTTCTGAAGAGGCGGAAGAAGACGCGGGCCCTGGAGGCTGCGGCCCTGGCTCACTGAGCCGCCTCCACCCTCCGGCCCTGCTGGAGAAAAAGCAATAACTCTCTACATGAAATATATTTTTTAAAAAGAAGAGACACAGACTGTTCACTTCTGCCTCCTTTCCTCCTCTGCTGCATGGAGGCTGGAATCTTGGTGGTGGCTAACAGCGCCTGCCCTGGTTCTGGCCAACCTTGGAGACACAGGCTGGGTGGCTGGGGGCATGAGGAGAGAAGGGAGCAAGATGCTCTTGAACCTGTGCTCGTTTTGCAGTTTTATTGGTAATTTGACTTAGAATTTTTATGAAACCTCTTTTATTGTCCTTTCCCCAGTTCTCCTCTTCCTTTTCCTCAAACCCTGTTTCTGGATACTGCAGGGGTCTGGGTTTTGTTAAAGGGTGTTTGTGGAAACTGGTAGAGGGCATGTTGTGTCTACCCTCCCTACTCCCCATTCTAGCCTGAAGGCCCCAGGACTGAGACATCGGGGAGTTTAAGGCTGCGGGGACCTAGGGCCAGGGTGCCACCCTCCGCCCCCTGCAGCTCTTAGACATCACCAGTGTGCTGAGTGGGTAGGGGAGTGTGTGTATTTGTGTGTGCATGTGTACCTGCATCTGTGCCTGGGACTGTGTGTTGGTGGGGCCAGGGGCTTTGACTCAAGAACCTTCTCCCTCCATGGGTCTACCCTGCCCCTGTAGGACCCACAAAAGTGCCTGGGAAGCCCCTCCAGGTCTGGGCCAGGCCCTGTGTGTGTAGAGGTCAAGTGGAGGGGCGTGATTAGCGCCTGGTTTGGGTCTGGAAGACTGGGCCCAGGACCACCCTCACCCCGTTCAGCCCTGGTCCTGGGTGCACTGAGCACTGATGTAACGAATAACCTCTGATTTCTCTTCCTGCCATGATAAGCCCACTGCTTATTTTTTCTTAAACTTTTAGCCATTTCTCAGTGGGCTGCCTCTCTCAGTTCATTTGGTCAGCCAGGGCAATTCATGGAGACATTTTTACGTCCATGTGTCTCCGCTGGGAGCCAGGGCTGGCCACACCTCCTGGGCAAAGGCAAGGCCACGTTTATGGTTCCACCTTGTTTCCATTGTGTGGCCGAGTGGGTTGGGGGAGTCTTCTCACCAAAGATATCCTAACTCTGCCCCCTTTCCCAGCTACTTAAGCCCTCCATTAAAACAAACAAACGAAAAAAAAAAAAACCCAACAAAAAATTCCTGCATCCTCTACCCTTCAGTGAGAGCAAGGTGCCCTCCCAAGTATTAATGAAGTGAGGGGCTGCACCAGCAGAGGTGCACTGCCCGCCCCCCACCCCCCGACTAGGGTCCCGTTCCCTTTTGGGAAAGGACAGCGGAATCCTTCAGCTTTCATCTCCCCCAGGGGCAGGGTGGTAGGGGCACCCAGCTCCCCTCCGTGTGAGGCCTCCCTCTCCTCTGATGGTGTGTCCAGCACTCAGATTGTGATAAATTGTTGTTGTTTTGTATGATCGAAATTGTCTTACTAAACAAATTTAATAGTTGAAAGTTTCTTTCTCTTCATTCATAGAGCTCATTGCCCAATCCCTGTCTTTCCCTTCTAGCATGTGCAGAGTGGTTAGGGGGGTTGGGGAAGGCAGGATGCTGGATGCCTGAGGAAGGAATGGGTGACAGGTATAGGAGTGATGGGGTGCTGCTCCCCTTTAAAGCAGGGCGGAGGAGGTAAAACAGAATTCTGGGAGGAGAGAAAGACTTGGGAGACCACTCTTGTTTTTGCTAGAATTGGCCAAGCTGCTTTTGTGGCTTGTGATTCATTGACCTACGTAGCCACAAGGAGATGAGCAGTTTCTTCCAGTGGGATTTACAGCCTGGAAATCCCACTGGAGAGTCAGCTATGAGTTGGTTCCCTCACAGCATCAATGAACTGTCTTATTTTTTCCCCCCATGAGACATAGTCACAGTGTGGGATTGGCATGAGCTCAAAGGAGAAGGCGTGTGGGGACTTAGAGCATGTTGTTAGGAGAAGCTGTTCCTTGGAAAGGGACATCAAGCTTGAAAAGGTCAGTGAAAGAGAAGACTCGAGCAAAATGGATTAAGATAGTGAATGCAGGAATAGTATGTCAGAGATGATGATGATGGCACAGGATAGGACTGAATTCAGGTCTGGTGTTGATAGGGTCACTATGAACTCGACTCAAGGGCACTTAACAACTCAGACAAGGCACATAACAAAAGTAACAACCACAACTCAGGAAAGAACCTAGGAAGCAGGTTGGTGTAGTACCTCCAAGTTCCAGGAGGGGGCGGAAGGGGCCAGGCAGGATCCAAAATACACCTCAAAAGCGGCCTCAGTGATCAGAGAGTGAGACCTGTGGTGGCAAACGGTGAGTTTAGATTACAGGCTGGGGACTGCGGTGGATCCTAGAGTTAGAAGGCAGCCTTCATACTCCACCGCCCGCCCTCCCAGTCAAGTGAGCTTACTGTGTGGAGCATTTCACCAACAGTGTCTCTGAGGATCCTCAGTGCTGTAAGGGGATGAATGTCAACACAGGTTATTGCTGCTTTATGACTGAAGAAACAGACCGCGAGGGGGCCCACACAGGTTTGCTTGAGAACTTAGGTTCACCTCTCTCTCCCAACCTCTGATAATCAAAGAACCGAAATCCCCACTGCTCGGAGCCAATTTGAGATTTTGTTTTCAGAGGAATCTTGTTTGAGTACCTGGAGCTGCTGGAAGTGTGGAGAACTGAGGGAGAGAAAGATGTGGGGAGCTTTATGGAGTAGGCATTAGTTTGCTGGTGCTCCCCAAATAAACGTCGTTAATCTCACAGAGGAGATTGTCCACTTTCTCCTGTGGAGCCACTGGTGGATTTGAGCTGCCAGAAGGGCATTGCCTTGTGTTAGCTGCACTGCTCCCTATGTACAGGGTTATACCATGAGAGCCCCCTCGAGTGTTGTTATGTACTATCGAGTCATAACTGACCCATAGCTGACTCTTTGTCGGGTTTTCAGAGGTGGTTAATCGCATGGGAAGAGATGTCCCATCATTCTACCATAAAGTGTCTGGTGGATTCAAACCGTGTGCCTTCAGGATTACAGCACAGATTTTTTTTTTTTTTTTATTATTTGTGTGTGTGCGTGTACCGTCAAATCAGATCTGACTGGTACAGGAGGAGATTGTCCCTCCTTCCCCAGCAGAGCATCTGGTGGATTCGAACCATGCGCCTCTGGGATTGCAGTGCAGCTTCTTGCCACTGGGCCACCAGAGCTCCCCTTGCAGCAGATTTTTAACCACTAGGTCACCAGAGCTCTCTCGAATGTAGTGTACACGTTTCTTATCTTTCAGGGCTCCAGCTCCCTATAAGTAGACGTTCTGTTTTAAAGCAATGCACGCTTACCATACTTTAGGGCTCCAGTGTCTCCTTGGGCTAAAATGGGGGTGTGAGCAGGGCTTGTGCCTTTCCAGAGGCCCTGGGGAGAACCTGCTCACTGGCCCTTTTCTAGAAGAACCTGCATCCCTTCTTCCATCTTCAAAGCCAGTGATAACCACATTTCTGACTCTTCAGGTATCAGCGCCACAGCTCTCTGACATGGACAGAAAGCATTCTCCAATTTCTAGGCCACATATGCTAGGTAGGGCCCACCTGGGTCCTCCGGGGTAGTTTCCTGTCATGAGGTCCACTCTGGGAGTCCCCTTTGCTGAGGGGCGTGCCCAGTCGGCAGTTTGTTTACATTTACAAGTGAGCAGGGCAGCCACTTTCCCCAGCTTCACCAACCTCACCTTCCTGCATCACACCCAGAGCCCGCACCACCTACCCACCCATTCACAGCCTACGCATTTCCTGTCTCCATCCCAGTCAAAGGAAAGCCCCACGTTTACTGTTATTGTTTACCATCTCTGCTGCCTCTTGACCTCTGAGCATTGAGCCCTGTCCTCAAGCTCCAGAAAGGAGCAGGGACCCAGCCTGGACCAGTGAGCCTGCTCCAAGCCCATGCCTGTGCACTCGCTGCAGTTCAGACTACTGGAGGGTGGAGCTCTGAGAGGCAAAGGCCGCCTGACTTTGCAAAGCCTTTAGATGGACCAGCATAGTGAACTCACCATAGTCACAAAGTGTAAGATTATTGCCTGGATTTAATAGAGAAAAGCCCAAAACATTACTGGTGGAGGGAAAGTCAGTCTACCTTCCTCCACCCCACACGTATTTCCCCCAAGTGTGTATTTTTATAGCAGATTAGGGAGCCCTGGGTACATAGTCTGTAGCAGCTTACACTGCTAACCCAAAGGCCTGGCATTTCTGGTAGTTCGAATCCATTATCAGACTGCAAGGGTGAGAAATAATGAATGATGCCCCTTTCATTTCCAGCTTCGGAAGCCCAGTAGTGGATCAGCTGAGTTAGAACGGACAACACAGTGGTGAGCACTGTGCAAATTTGGAAGTGGGTTCTTGAGCAGTGGAAATGGTTAACATGCTCAACTGTTAACCATAAGGTTAGAGGTTCAAGTTCACATAGAGTCGGTCTCAGAAGAATGGTCTGGCAATATGTCGTGGGTGAGAGGATCAAGACATTGAAAACCTAATGGAATTGAGCTCTGCTCTGACACACACCGAGCTGACTGTGACAGCTGGTTCCTTCCCGCCCGGGCTTGTGAGCATGAAAGGAGGCCATGCAAAAATTTTGAAAGGCCAAAGACATAGTCGGAAAGTGAGACTGGGCCACTCTGAACTGTTGGCCTCCCTTCAGGTAGGGTCTGTGTTTTGGTTCCCTGGACCTATATCTTGATGCCCAATGCTAAGGACTTTGGGAGTCCAAAAATGTATGAGAAGTGGGCCCAGCCCTCATGGTGCTCACATACTGGAGATGTTTTTATTGTTACGTGTCATCGAGTCACTTGCATAGTGACCCTATGTACAACTGCTCTGAACCCTGCCTCTATCTTGAGTGAACCTCATTGTCTCTTAAACACCCTAGTAACCGAGTCAATCCATCTCATCCAGGGTCATCCTCTCTTGCACTGTCCCTCCACCCTTCCAACCATGGTGTCCCTCTCCAAGTACTGGTCCCTCCTTGCAACATGCCCAAGGTATGTCAGATGGAGCTTCAGAATCCTTGTCTCCAAAAAGCAGCCTGGTTTCACCCTCTCCAGGACAGGCATTAATATAATGAAAGGCAGAGGCAGCCAGTGTTTGAAAAAAGCAGAGACAGAGCAGGTGGTTTTCACGCACAGTCAGATTACCCAATCATCAGGTAAGCAGGAGCTTACGTGTGCTTGTTCACTAATCTTTAGGGAACAATTTTCAGATTTTCCCACCACATCAAAGA